AACCACATGGCCAAGGTTTCTTCTGGTTTTATTTTAGATTCTCTACAAAGTTCCTGAATTTCTGGTCGGGTGCGTGTGCGAGAGATAACAGTGGTACGCATAGTACCTTCTTCATCCGCAACATGCTTCATCACAGCTATCGGGTGAGCTGAGGCAGAGAGAGCATTAAATTCTTCATCTGGGAGCGTTGGGTACATCCCTCCTCCCATTGCCCCCTCCCCGTGGCAAGGAGGCGGGGCCATTGGGAACAACGTCACCTCAGGGGGTGGAGTCACTAGGCGGATCCCTGCCGGGTCTTCTGTAACTCCGCCCCTCCCTTCCGGGTTCCCCGGATAGCTCATGCTTCTTTCAGCACCATTTTCTGCTAGTGGCATCATGCGGCCGGTGCTGTTGATAAGCGTCGCTCCGGAGCTCTTTGCTGTCCGCTCCAACGACTCCTTACCCGCCGTATGCATCTGTGCCTCTAAATTTGCGTATTCCCTTAGTAGACCCGGTATTGTACGGAACAGCACATTCATCATCTTTCCCTTCTTCCATTTAGTTAGACCCCATCTCGGCACATGACGGCCCTTAGTTTCTGGATCCTCCCGGAGCTGAACAAGGAGCTCATGGCCCCACGACTCAGGCACCAAATCCGGACAGTTGAACCAGTCCATGGGGGTGGGTTCCCCTCCTTCCCTTAAGTATCGAATGCATTGAACGAACTCCTGAGCAGGGGTCAGCTTTTCTGCCTTCCGCGCCTTTACCCCAGGTAAGGATATGGTTGAGGTTTCCTCCGGGGGTCGATAATAGACCCGGTCGCTCCCCATTGTGCATCCAAACTCCCCAAGGGATAGCTTAGTTCTCCATTCCTTCACTACGGCTTCTTCTCTTTTTACAGAGAAGTAACCATCAATATTTCTTTCATCCCCTTCTACCGCCTGATGGTAAGCGATATGCGCCCATAGATCATTGGCATTCTCTACATGGCGGGTCCCGGTGCGCCAGGGGCAGCACCCGATTAGGTTCTTCTCTATCACCGTGCCCTTAGATCCCATCCTAGTCGCCATGTCTCGGACGGCCAGAGCCGACTCGAGGTGATTTAGTAATTACTCGTTCGTTGGGCGAGCTGGTGAATAGAGAGGCGGACAAGGCTTAATGGTTGCAAAACTTTACTTACGCCGCTTGTAGCTGCAACGCTGACGGTCCGGTCGTCTGAACAACTATGTTAGTTGTTCCAGCTGGCAGGGCTCAGGCTAGCTCATCCGTCCACAAATCAAGCCGGCGGGGCAAGGGTACGTTGGGGATTGCGCTCAGCGACGGGGAGAAGAATCGATAGGTGATCAGTCTATCGATCAGCTCAGCTGCAAGTCAGATTTCTTTAGAGGCACTCTGCAGCGTGTTCAAAGTTCTCCGACTTGGGCGGAAGTCGCACAAAATTTTAAACGGCTAGCAAGCCAATTACTAGCCGCCACGTAGGAATAATTTAGAACCAGCCAATAGCGGGACACAAATTTGCATTCGAATGGCGGGAACTCTCTTGCACCGGGGTTTTCTGCTGCAACAGAAAACCTTTTACTTTGCAAGAGGCTCTCATGTGGTGGGAAAATTCCATCGTGCCGAGGCACCAAAATCACTGGGTTGTGAAATAAAAATTGTCTACAACTGGCTCCAGTATTTACATGCGTATAAAAACTAAAGGACTTACCACACCAATTCCTTCAAAAGCAAATATGGCAGTGCCAAAAAAGAGAGGATATTTCTTCCAACCAACCACAGGAGGAAGTTTTCGAGGATCTGATATATCCTGTAAGAAAAACAAAGCCTCAGCAATTCCAAATGTTTTGAAAGCTTCTCACAGAAGAGTAAAACTAATCACACTCTGTCTGCAATGTTCACGTGTGCTATTATTCCTTTAATTTACACATCATCTCAATCTACACTATACCTCCAAGTTCACTTACCTTCACCTAGTCCTGCATCCAGCTCCCCACCTGAAGCTCTTTACTGCCAATGCAATATGTACATTATGGGGTAGATATACCCTCAGGCAG